TTTTTTTTTTTTTTGGGTGCAGCCATCATTGTTGTTTGGCGGGCCCAGGCTGGATTCGAACTTGCCACCTTAGGTGTATGTGGCTGGCACCTTAGCCACTTGAGCCAGAGGCGTCTAGCCCCAAATAAATTCTTGAATCTATTTTTATATCCTCCTTAGAGAAATAATTCTTTTATTTTTCCTAAGTAATGCTTCTTTAACTAATTTTCTGAGGTGTATCAACCAAATCTGTTTATTCTGGTTATATATATTGTTTGGTTTTAAGAACTTTGGGCATATTTCCTCTCAAACTTCCAACTTTTTAGTTTAGATGAAAAAGACTTAATCTCGTAGATTCTCTGTATATAAGAATACTTTCCATTTTTCCCACTGATGTTTGGGATCATTTTATCTGTCTCTTTGTCTTGAAGTTTAACAACCACGGTATTATAGAGTATCACAATTGTAAATCTTTTGTATATTTTTCTTAAAGTACAGTATTTTATTGACTTTGTTAATGGCAAAAGCATATTAGTCTGCTTTACTTGGAAAAATCCTGTAATAACTTTTTAAACTCTTAAATCATAACAAATAGTTTAGCATGCTCCTTCCCTTAGTGTATTTTGACTGAAGGGGAATAAGAATTTTTACATTGTTCTAGAATAGAGGCTCCTAGCCTTGTAACTTCTCATTAGAATTTTTAATTTAAATATCTTAATATTAACTGAAGTGAGAGAGTAGATTGGCTGTAATCCTCTCCATTCAGGTTGGCCAACTTGTACAACTCCAGAGGCTGTCATTCATGTTATATTCTATGGAATAATGCCTCCTGGAGTTTTCCAGTTCTGTGGCCCACCTCCCAGAACAGAGCAGAAGGCTGCAGTATGTGAAGACTGGCTTATGATTGAACAGGCATGGTTCTGAGACCTGCTGATAGATCCCAGTCTATTACTTGATCGGCCTACATTATTGGAGTATCCTCTGGGAATGAGAGGAAAAGAGTTTCATAATTTTTTTCCATCCCCATCCCACCCCAGTTCTGTTCTTCCCTTGTATCTCTTCTTAATTTCTCCCATAATATTAACTGTTCAGAATGAGCAGAATTCATGTTCCAATGAGGCACTTAAAGTACTGTGAATGCCATGTACCCGTGTGGAATTCTATATTTGGAAATTTTAGAGTAGAAATGGTAATGCTAATATTGTTCCTTCTCTTAAATCTTCTTTCAAAGGGTCTAAACCAAGTCTCTTTTTCTTGTTCTGTAAAGAATAGTAGGCCCGGGCGATGCCTGTGGCTCAGTGCGCAGGACACCGGGCCCCACATACCAAGGGTAGTGGGTTCAAACCCGGCCCTGGCCAAACTGCAAACAAAAATTAGCCGGGCATTGTGGCGAGCACCTGTAGTCCTGGCTACGTGGGAGGCTGAGACAAGAGAATCGCCTAAGCCTAAGAGTTGGAGGTTGCTGTGAGCTATGATGCCATGACACTCTACCGAGGGCGATAAACTAAGACTATGTCTCTTAAAAAAAAAAAAAAAAAAGAATAGTAGGCCCTGGGATCTCTGTAACTATTCCTGGACATTAAACAATATGACATTTTATCTCTATCCCATTTTAGATAACCCAGCTATATCTCATCTATAAAGGAGGTTGGAGAAAAATACAATAAGAAGATAGGAATTAAAATCTGTATTCATATTTGTGTTTTAAGTGATCTCTTGTGACTGTATTGGTTTGCTGCCTTCTCAACCAAAAGATATATTTCTGCAGTGAACTAAGAAAAGTACAGACTCTGTCCTTAAGATTATGGTCTGGGCTTGGTGGCTGTGGCTCAAGTGGCTAAGGCGCCAGCCACATATACCTAAGGTGGTGGGTTCGAATCTAGCCTGGGCCCGCCAAACAACAATGA